AAGAATAGAAACACTGCAATTACCATTTTGTTTTGCCCGTTTGAATCTTGTGTTTTGCATTGTTGAATGTGTGAGGGTGCCAAGAAATTTCTTTCCTCAGGAATATATTGAATGCTTGCAGATCGGAGCAGTTTTTAATTATTTCAAAGCCAGACTATTGTATTTTATCAGTATTTTGAGCGTTTGAGTCATGGGTGAACAAATGGTCATCAGTTCTACTGAAAAACATGAGTCTGTCAGGAAATGAAGGGGTTTTTTGAGCTTTACAATTAAATATGCACAAATTCATCTGAAAAAAAGCGGTTGATATAAATGTCTTTACTGCTCTGGCAGGTTTTTAATAGGTCTGCTTAGAACTTCAGCTTTAATATGAATTTTAGTGTTGGTAGCAAAGCAGTAATGACAGAAGAGAGCAGGTATGAGCAGAAGAGAGACATATGAGAATGGATGTTGAAGAGGAACTGGTATAAAAATCCCTAAAAAACCTGCTCAAAAGCCCTTCTGAGGGATTCGTATCCATTTCTCAGTTTCCTGAGCTGCCATCACAGCTTTTTGGAGAAAGTTTGTTTTGAGTGTACATTTTCTCACCTTCCTAATGGAAATGCCTCTTCTTTTCCTTGGGGGTCCAGCAAGTCAATCTCCAGCGAAAAGTTGCAGCAAATACTGCAAACACGAGGAAAAGAAGCAAAAAAACATATTCAAATAACTGCTCAACCTTTTCTAATTAATTTAGAGGGAATAATGTTGCTGAGCAAAAAACCCTCAGGAGATTTTACTAGAGCTCGTGTTATTGTGGTCTGCAAGTGCTTACATGGGGGAGAAGCTCTTTAATCTGCAAGACAAGGGCATAAAAAACCTCATGATGGGAAACTGAAGCTGCATTCTTGCAGGTAGGAAAGAAATTCCACACTTAAATGCAGTTTTGAGATGCTCCTGCACCTCTTCGAAATTATGGGATGACCTCCCAGCTTTTCAGCAGGGAGAAGGGGCATTTTTGCCCCTTAAAACTTCAATGGTCGGAGCAGAGATGCCTTTGTCTTGTCAAAAAGGCAAAACAAAACAGCAGGGTCCCCCCTTGTGCAGCTGCAGTAAATTGTACATTATCCTTTTATCTGAGGACCCCAAAGATGAAGCTGAGAGGCCTGTAAATATTTTGGCCTCGTTACGGGCTCGGGAAGCCGCATGTGGCCGAAGTCACCGTTAGGAAGAGGAGCAGCGAGGAGAGCAGCGGATGCCATCGCAGGGTTATACATTTTAATGCGTTCTGTATATGGAGAGATCAGTATCGCTTTAATGACAGATTTTTCTAACCCTGTTCACATATAACCCTTGCTTTCTCGGCGGGATTAAGTGTTGCGCCCGCAGGCACGACGGGGAGATCAGGTCGGGGCGTTTTGCCGGCCTTTCTTCGCTGCCAGCAGAGAGCAAAATTGGGTTTTAGTTGGTATAAATCCTTATCTCTTTGCATCGAGTTTGGCAATGTGGCTCTGAACACTTCAAGATATTCCATCACATCAGTGTCATATTAACGGCAGCTCCGTTCGGTAATTTGCAATATCAAAACTGCTGCAATAAAAAATAAATCGTTCTGGCCCGGTGCGGTGTTAGCAAGCGTGCTCAGAAGAATTTCCTGGGCAAAATGTGGGAATCTTTTGTCAGCTGAGGAGTGTTTACAAATGCACTGTGGCACCAAGTCAGTGCAAAGCAACACGGCAGGATTCAGCCCGTTTTTTTATGTGTTTTCTTTTCTTCCCGGTGCGCCGCGTTGCTAAAATAACTGCAGAAACATTTTGCATGTTTGTGCTCCAAGGCTGAATCCGAGGCTCTGGCAATGCCAGGAGCCCTTGCACCTTCTTGACTTGCACTTGTTTCCGACCAATTTGATAAGGGAGTAGATACGTTCTCCACTTCTCTCGCCGTGTGCTGATGTTGCTCCGCGTTGGCCCCTCACTGTCTCGGTCTCCCCTTGCAGATCCGGGCTCGCACAGGCCGCCGTTCTTCCTGCAGCGCCCGCGGGGCGTCGTGGCCGCCGAGGGGACGGACGCCGTGCTGGAATGCTGCGTCTCCGGCTCGCCCCATCCCAGCTTCGCGTGGCTGCGCGGGGACCAGCTGCTGCCCCTCAGGTACCACCAGGCTCAGAAACAACATCTGCCCCGGGGGGGACTTTGAGACCGCCCGTTAAAACGGGGGTGTGAAGTTATTAGCACTAAAATCCCAGCCGGGATAGTTTGTGGATCCCATATTGTGAGAACGATTTTCTGGAAAGACAGATAAACCATCTTAACAAATTCCCGATCTGCATTCCCTCTGTTTCAGGTCCAGGAAATATTCACTGCTGGCTGGCAGCAACTTACTCATCTCCAACGTGACCGACGCCGATTCGGGGACCTACACCTGCCTGGTCACCTACAGGAACGAGAACAGCAGCGGCTCCGCGGAGCTCTCCGTGATGGGTGAGTAGGGGTTTCCACCAGCTGCATCCGCTTTGCTGTTCCAAGAACTCTTTTTACAACAACTTTTATTTCCAGAGCTCAAATAATTGCGACTCGTGCGGTTCCCTCGCTGCTTTGATCTGGTTTTTGCACATACATAAACCAAGTGAATATTTGAATACCTCCTACAGGGCCAGATAGTCTTGCTGCTGCCAAACAGCTTCAGTATCAGATGCTAATTGTTCCTGCAGCCTGGAAATGCTCCTTCCCTTCCCTTCTCGATCCCGTGGCCTTGATTTTGACATTAAAACAGGTTTCACTTGTGTGCACAGTGAGGGGTTGCCCCTGGGGTTTGCTGCTGGTTTTAGGACCAGAGCAACAGGGCTCTTATTAGGATTTGTATTTTTTTTTAATGTCATCAATAGAATAAGATGCCCAAAATAGTAAAAATCAAAGTAAATTTGTGGAGCTGCGTGGTCACCTGTGGTGCTCCAAGGGTTTCCATTGCTCCCATCCTCATGGAGAAGAGCATGGTTGGCTCAGGTACCTTAAAATACAAACTCCTTCCTTGTGTCACACATTAATGGACTCAGAAATATGTGAAAATCTGAGATCTGCCTTTTCCCCCCACTTTTCTTTAGTTAAGTGATTGAACAATAGCAAATTACATTAGTGGTATTCAGTAAGATCTAAAGAACTACACACTTAATACTTAGGCAAACAATAGCATAATTCAGTGCCCCGTTCATTTTGCATTCTGGCTTTAAAGCTTATGTGCACAAAATACTTTCATTAGTGAATAGAGCCTTAATTTGGATTATAGGATATTCGCTGCTCGTCTAACAATATCCTTTTATCAAGCTATAACAAAATATAATAATTGCTCATGATGGAAGCCTCAGTGCTGTTTCTTTAAGTGCGTTGGGGTAATGCATTGTTTTCCTGGGTAAAAATAAGAATGGCGTTTTATAATTGCAAAAGTTCATCTATCATGAAATTGTTTGCATTGTAATGAAGGAAACAGTGAAATGGCAGTTAACCTCTTGCTTAGTATATGTTATTTGCCTTATGGAAAGATGTTGCTTTCCAGGGTGGTTTGCTGCGGGTGACTAATTGTTGGGTGAAACGTAGTGACAAATCCCATTAATATTCCTCCCGGAGCGATAGCGTGTGGGATCTCTTGGAATGAGCAGTGCTGGCTGCAGGATCATCGCAGAGGCTGTCACACAGGTCAATGTGTCTTATAAAGGCAATAATTAATCGTTTACTTTCTTTCCTTTTTCTGCCACACAAATTAATATATGTAAATGATGCAAATGATGACTGTTGTGGTGGATACGGGTCTAAAATTGCAAGAGGTGGATCAATTTGCAAGAAGAAATGATAGATTTTGCATTTTTTTTTTGTCTAACACATAAAGTCTATTGGCAATATTTTAGCCACCCCTCGTTGTGTCATGGAAATTATAAGATCCAATGGAGATTAGTTAGTATTGAAGGGCTTTATCTTGAAGAGACATTGGAGAATTATTAGATGTGTTAACCAGGGTCATTTACAATTTCTTTGTACATATTTTTGGGCTTTCAGAAGCATATTTGGGCCTATTGCCTGTTGGACAGGGGGGTTGAATCGTTTTGCTTGGTTTATGTTTTAAGTCTGTTTAGCCAATTTTAGGAAAGGAGGCCCGGCGCGTTCACGCAGGGTTAATGTGGATGCCGGTGTGAATCCCGGAACCGGGAAAAGAACGGCACTGAGGGTGCCCGTTAGCTGATCTCCGAGCGTGAATTTTGCCAGTGTTTTATTAACCTGTGGCGTTAACTACCCAGGTGCGACCCTGAGATCAGCAGCGCTGTGCTAGGCTCCAGGATTTGGCATCTTTTGGGGGATAATGAGAACATTTGGCAGCCTGGGAAGCTGAAAACACGGAGGCGCCTGCCGAGCCGTCTGCTAATTTGCGTTGCCCTGGGATGGGAGCCGAGCGGAGCCGGAGCTGCCTGCGACGGCAGCGCTTGTCAAAGCGTCCCTGGCACTGAGCGCGCGAACAAGACTCCGCCGTTGCCAATTCCTGCCCGTGTTGCTGTTCGTACCCGCCTCGTTGAACATAAACGCACCTCGGCGACGCGAGCGCTCGCTTGGCTGCTCCTAGGAAAACTGTGGCTGGGGGCGAGGTGTACGCGGGAGGCGGGAATATTCACGTGGAAGCCCCCGTGGGGAGGGAGTGTTGGTAACCAGAGGGGTCTGCGCGGGGTGCGAGGTCCGGGGCGTCCGCGTGCAACGGCTCGGCCTTGGGTTTCGTCGTGGCCTTGGGTTTCGTCTCAGCCTTTGGCTTCGTCTTGGCCTTTGGTTTCATCTTGGCCTTTGGTTTCGTCTTGGCCTTTGGTTTCGTCTTGGCCTTTAGCTTTGTCTAGGCCTTTGGTTTCGTCTCCGCCCCTTTGGTTTCGTCTTGGCCGTTAGCTTCGTCTAGGCCTTGGGTTTCGTCTAGGCCTTGGGTTTCGTCTTGGCCTTGGGTTTCGTCTCGGCCTTTGGTTTTGACTCGACCTTTGGCTTCGTCTTGGCCTTTGGCTTCATCTAGACCTTTGGTTTCCTCTCGGCCTTTGACTTCGTCTTGGCCTTTGGTTTCCTCTCGGCCTTGGGTTTCATCTCAGCCTTTGGTTTCGACTCGGCCTTTGATTTCAACTCGGCCTTTGGTTTCCTGTTGGCCTTTGGTTTTGTCTCGGCCTTGGGTTTTGTCTCGGCCTTGGGTTTGGTCTCGACTTGGGTTCGTCTCCGCCTTGAGTTTCATCTCGGGCTTTGGTTTCGTTCATCTCAGCCTTTGGTTTCGACTCGGCCTTTGATTTCAACTCGGCCTTTGGTTTCAACTCGGCCTTTGGTTTCAACTCGGCCTTTGGTTTCAACTCGGCCTTTGGTTTCAACTCGGCCTTTGGTTTCAACTCGGCCTTTGGTTTCCTCTTGGCCTTTGGTTTTGACTTGGCCTTGGGTTTTGTCTCAGCCTTGGGTTGGGTCTTGGCTTGGGTTCATCTCAGCCTTGAGTTTCATCTCGGCCTTGGGTTTCGTCTCGACTTGGGTTCGTCTCGGCCTTGGGTTTCATCTCAGCCTTTGTTTTCGTCTCAGGCTTTGGTTTTGACTTGGCCTTTGATTTCGACTTGTCCTTTAAATTTTACATAACTAAGAACAGAAGAGCTCGGAGGAGCACTCTAGGTTTTGTAGCACAGCATTTAGCTCCTTCAGTCCTAACGCAGAGGCAAATTATTACCACGAAACTGGGACAACAAGGGAAAAAAAGGTACAGTATCTGGCTATGCCAAACTATACTTGAAAAATTCAAATATCCTGTATTTTCCCAATGCTCCACGTTTGGTTCAAGGACCTCAAGCTGTTACAAGAAAATTCAACCCAATTAGCGAGTCCTTAACCTTTCCAAAAAGATAATTACTTTTTTTCTAAAATCACACAAATAATTAACATGACATTAGAACGCCAGCGTATTTACTAGATCTGAAAAAAATACTTCTGCAATAACAAAGATAGAGGAAAATGGTTTTTTTAGGAGTGTTTTCTCACCCCTCTGATATTTTTTTCTCTTTAGCCTAATAAATACACGTGCTCTGAAGATCTTTGGGCTCCTTCCAGTGGATTTCACACCTCGGAAAGGGCCCTTGTCTCTCTTGCTGGGGCTCTGCTCCCGCTCATCCCTTCTGCTCGAGGCCTCTAATGAAGCAAGGAGCAAAACGCTCCCTGACCCTGGATTTCTCCACAGCAAGAAAACGGAAGCTTTATGAAGCCTTAAATTTTTCATCGGCAGCGAGCGGCTGTGAAAAGACCATTTCAATTAGGAAGTTGACCAAAATAAATTTTGCAGGGGCCGCGTTCCTCTTCCGGGGCTCGGGAGCAGCTTTCTGGATAAATCATGAGCAACAACTGACCTTTTGCAGCAGCGGGCTATGGAAACTGCAGGCATCAATCCTGCCTTTAATCAACCCAAATAATGTTAGCGGAATGACCGTTTCCAAGGTCGGGAAGGAGCGAGGGAAGGCACCCGGGGTGCAGGGACTCTACCCCTGTCACCTTAGGGGTAGATCTTGGTGAAGATGATGCTGTCATGGCTAGTGAAAAGCTTTGGAGAGTGTCTGAAACATCCAGCTCAAGCATCCAAACCAGCAGTTCTCGTTCTGCAGCTCCTGAGAGCAAAAAAAAGGGGCAATCCCTCCAAATAATCCCCAAGAAGGGAGGCCCACGTGTGTGTTTGGGCACACGGTGGCTCCGTGCGGCTTTTCCATGGATTCCTCTTGTGGGAACGTTCCCAGCGATGACATAACTGTAAGCCACGGAACACCATTAAAAATATAGATTTCAAACGGCCTGCAATGAATCTTATTGCAGCATCTGTAGTTGGTTTTATTAAAAGCAGTTTAAATTCCCCTGCCTGGAGCAGGGTGGAATTACAGAGATGGGCTGCAGAAATTTACATTTTAATTGAGGTGAAAGACAAAATAGGGCATGGCACAGCATTCACATAGTGCAAGAGAGAATAAATAAGATACGTATCAGCTGGGGGAAAAGAAATGACTGGTCGTTTTTCACTGCCTCCTGTGCTCTATTTTCCACCGTTGCGATGAGCGGCGGTTTCGTTTGCTCCGTCTCGAGTTGCAGCAGCTCAAACTACCCCCGTTGGGCAAGTCGTTGATTTTGGATCATTCTTGTTTGCAAGTTCTTTTTTAAAAAGTCTGGAACACTTTGTTTTTCCTTGCTCTTGGCTGGCAGGATGGCAAAGTCACGGCAAATTCTTGGATTTTAAGACCAAAATGTAAACTTAGGTTCATTGGGCAACCCTTTTAGAGCATCCTCAGTGGGATGGAAGGGCTTGGAAAGGCGACGACATTCCCGACTTTCCCCTTCCCGTGCCATGACCAGCACTGTGGGGAGGAAGCACTTCTTGGATGGAGGATGGAGAAGGGAAAATTGAAGGGGAAAAGAAATAATTTCCCACATATTTGTCTCGAAAAAGTCTTTTTTGATGTGATTACAAAAACTAATAATTTTCCTACTTTGAATTTCCCGCATTGCGACCTTTGGTGTCTAGATCTACCCGACGCTTCCAATGGGAATAAAAAATAAAGAAGTTCTAGGATTTTCCCCTTGCTTTGCCCATGCAAACGCACGTCTGAATTTCACGGGAGGCTCTTTGAAAATTCAGCAAATGACCCTGAAATGGGAAGAAAAGAAGAAAAAGTAGGAGCTTTTATGCTGTGATCCACCCCGATGCGATCCATACCTGTTGTGAAGCAAAAAGTGTTGAAGATGGGCAGCAATCGTGACCTTGGTGCCGTTCTGCAGCAGAATGTCCTGGAACGGGGTAATTAAGCTAATTATTGTGACGAAGAACGGGGCTCTAATAAGGTAGATATTGTTCTTTGTGTTGCATATTTGGGTGAATATGTGATAATCTGCACTTGGCAGCACTTAGGCAATGGATATGGGATATGATATAATCTGCCACTTAAAGAACTACTCGTTCCTCCAAAAAATCTTCAATAAACGTTCTATTTGGGCACAATTCTCACTTTATCTTCTACATTTGCTCTATTTTTCTTCTCACTCCTCATTCTTTAGACTTGACTGGATGAAGCCCGATGTCGTTCTCCGCATCCATTCGTGCTGCTGTTCCCACACCTAAAGTGGCAATTCTCAGCCCAGGAAAATGCGAAAATTTCGGCTAACAAACTCTGCCTCTTTTCCTGTCATGTCCCAAATTTGACAATTGATGGGAGGTGTCCATGTGCCATATCCCAACGTACTTCATTAGAAAAAGCCTCCTGTCATGTCCCAAATTGGACAGTTGATGGGAGGGAGTTTGGTGGCTTTTCACACTCTCCTTAGGTGTCCATGTGCCCTATCCCAACGTACTTCATTAGAAAAAGCTTCCATGAAGGTAGAGTTCAGGCCTTTTCTGGGATAAATCCATTACTTCTGTGCAGAAGTGGTACCTAAAAAGCGTGAGCTAAAGATTCGGGAAATTTAGTTTTTCATTTCAAGCTCCGTTGCCGTCTCCTCATGCGACCTTGGGTGACTCATGTAGCATTTCTGTGATTCTTCCTCTCCCGGGTGTAATGCGGGTAATAACAGCGATCTCAGACAGCGCAAGATTTAATTTGTGAGGTTTTGTTTTGTAAAGTGCTTTGTGATCCTTAAATGGAAAAAAAAAAACTCAAAAGTGCAAAATATTGTTATAATAAATTAATTTGCTCCCGTTATAATAAATTAAAAGCTCCTGTTTTGCAGATCTGGGGATCTTGGTCTATCTAGATCCCACCTGCTCCAGATCCAAGTGGGATCTGAGAGGGTTAATTTGGTCAGACCTGCAAGGTTTTTGCCCCATGCTGGGAATTTCCTGAACTGGGACTTTTCCGGGAACATTTTATTTTATTTATTTTATTTTACTTTATTTTTTACTTTATTTTCTGCAATGTATATTTGTAAACATAAAAAAGTGCAGAGGGAGATCTACCAAATTATTTTAGCGTCACTTGCGATTGAGTTTGTATCCACTTTGTAGACTGTATATATTTTTGAATTATATATTCAATATATCTGTATTTTTTATATATATATATGTATATATATCCAAGATAGTGGGTGCTCTAGGTGGGTCTTTCAAAACCATTTATCAGGTTCCATGTGTAGCTAATGGCCTAAAATGAAGGCGATCGTCCAAATTAGTCATAGAAAAGGAATCATAAGTCATAGGAAAATCGTATTTGATAGAAAAAGCAGCTTTAGCATGTTGGAAACTGCAAGGTGTTCTCCATGTAAAGACCCCGAAGGCCAGTCGTTTCTTGAGGGTTTGGATGTATCAATACAATATATGTCAGTAACTGCATGCAATAAAAAGGCTGGAGTACTAAAACATTTAAATATCTTAAATTTGGACCCACCAAAAAGCCGTGAGTTTCGAGCCAACCTTAGGACCAAGGTTGCTGATATTCCCACTGGCCTTTCCAGCTCTTCTTTCTCTCCGACGGAGGCCGTAGAAATTCCCAGCAGGAAGGAGACGCCTCCTTGGCAGCCCCTCTCCAGTTGTCCCTGCAAAGTGCTCCTTACCACTGCGCTTTTAATAGGCAAGCCCAGCAAAATCCCTGCGAATTCCCGGTCGGCTGAGCGAGGGATAACCCTTCCCTGGCTCTTGGGGCCTGCAGCAAGTTGAGGAGGCCGAGCCTTGTCGGGGCCGCCCGTTAATTACGCGGGCGCTTAATTACCCATCGTGACCTTGAGCGCGTTGCCTCGTGGCGGCGGGTGCGAAACGCCCGTGAATTATTTAACGCCTGCAAATCGCTCCGGGGTCCCCGCGCGCCCTCCCCGCTCATCGGTTTTGCAAATCCTGGAGATAATTCAGCTCTTCTTGCTGGTGATGGGAGTCATTGGGAGCTCTGCTCCTCTCCTCTTGGGAGCCCTGAACTGCCCTGCTGTGACTTTTGTGCAGTCCTGGTCTAAGCTGACCTTCGTTTGGAGAGCTAAAGCCCGTGGAAAAGTGTCTTCCTTCCGATACGGAGCAAAAATGGAGCCTTCTCGTCCTTATAAATCATTTTTGTGCATTTTGAGCCAGGGCAGCTGGACTTTTCCGGCTCTTCCTCGAGCAGGGCGCAGTGCGGGTTTACGGAGCATGTCGTGCTAGGGTTTTAGTGCCAAAAAGTGAACCCACGTTCACTTAGGACCAGTATTTTAATGGCAAAATCACCTGCGGAACCGTCTGTGTTGTCTTTCCAACAGGA